GAGAGCGGTGCACATTCAGAGGAGGAGGAGGAAGAGGAGGAGGAGGAGAACTTTTTGACAGGAGCTTTGTCCTGGAGAGCGGTGCACATTCAGAGGAGGAGGAGGAGGAGGAGGAGGAGGAGGAGGAGGAGGAGGAGGAGGAGGAGGAGCTCCTCGTCCTCCTCCTCCGCCTCCTCCACCTCCTCCTCCACCTCCACTCCTCTGATCCTCTTCCTCCCCATCCCCCTGTTCAAATTCCAGCTCCCGTTCAATCTGCGCGTGAATCCGTTCACATCATTTCTGAACACGTTCACTGTCACGGACAAGCTAAGTTTAGGTTTAGGAAGAGCCGGTTGCAATTCAAGGCAACATGGATGGCAACTCCGCGATAACTGACGCCGCGCAGATCGGAATTGCCGCACAGACCGAAGAGAAGAGCTCACTGCAGCGAGTCAGAATAGTCGACCTCGTATACGACATAGTGGGGTGGAGGAACGGTTTCGAGAAGGCTTCCGCCCGACCCGAAAGGTTGGAAGACACGCTGGTGGGCCGGGACAAAGAAACTGTGTATGGTAGGGCGTCGACCACCGACTCCGGCTTGGACGAGGGTGGCACTGTCGCGTCCAGCGTACATGCCCACATGGCAGCTATGCGTGGAGGCGCACATGGCAACTCTGTGATTCAAGGCTCACTGGCGATTCTTGAGAGGCCTGCGACGGAGACCAGACGCGTGTCTTGAGAGTGGTGGCGGGGCAGTCTTGAGGCATGCGCCTCGGCACGTGCCTTTGACTTCTCAACCCCATTCCGGATCCTCTGACACCGAGGAGGCAGGAGGATCGCACGAGTGCTCGCTGGCCCCGGAACCTAACCTGCTGCGTGCGGGACAGGCGGTGCCAGCAGTGCCAGAGCACTTGTTTGCCGCGCCACAAGCTTTGACTTGAGAGTGAGGGGCAGCTTACACCAGCAGGTCCAGAGTCATGATCTGTTGACAAATGTTGTGTGTGCTGTCGCGTGATGAATAATGGTACGATGTGATTGTGAACCGCTGATGTAGAGAGTCACGACAGGCATGAAGCCCAAGTCGAAAAAGATCGGCGGATCGAATCATTCTCATTTGTTCAACACTTCTGGGCCTCCTTGCACGATCTCGTCGCCACGTGCCGCACCATGCCTCATACTTGCATCACCACGGGGGGGGGCTGAGGGGATAGGGCGGGTACAAGTGGACACTCAGGTGGGTTACAGCTGGGCTAGCCTAGCTGAAAAAGAGGGTCAGAACTACCACGAGAGGCCGAGCGGGGGCTGCATCACTCCGCTGCGTCGGCGGACCCCGCTTGGCCCATCTCACCCACCGAATCCACTCGGGCCACGCCCAACCTCTGGTAAGCTAGGCTTAGCGGGCGAAGAACGGTATACAATAAACCTTTTCGCTGTCGGGGGCGCCTGTCCCAGGGCGGCTGGAAAGTTTCTACCCTTACGGTGGCACCGTAGGGGTATAAACTTTCCAGCCGCCCAGGGACAGGCGCCCCCGACAGCGAAAAGGTTTATCTTATACCGTTCTTCGCTCGCTGATAGGCTCAGTCACATACAACCCACCTTTGCATCCACGTGTCACCCCCTGTCCCTCTAGCACCTCCCGCGGGAATCGCGCACGCCCACGCGCTCGCACGCCGGGCCCCGGAGCCGATCTTCGCCCCCCCCCGGGAGCGCAGACCTCCAACCATCGGGGGGAAAGGGACGGGCGAGACGACGCGGGAGGGGAGAGGGAGAGGGCGGGAAGGCAGGGGACGGCGGGCAGGTGCTGCTCCTCTGACCTCCCAAGAGGGGCTCGGACGACAGCACGAGGACGACCATGAAGGGGCCCTGGGACACACAAAAACACACACACACACGAAAAAAAAGATTCCCCATATTTTCCTATATTTTCTGTTTTTTTTGTCTTCCCCCCCATGCCCATATTTTCCTGCATCTTCTTGGGGATCGACGATTCATTGTGTCTGTGTGTTTTTTCCCCTCCTGAAGCCAGATCCGAGCCTCCCGCCGAGGTCGGGGATCTTCTGACCCGGGTCAATCCAGACCCGGGTCAGCAGGAAACCAAAAACTGCAATGCAGGAAAAAAAAAACTGCAACGCAGGTCCTCGCAAACCCGGGTCAGCCAATACGCGCGGCCGCCTTGCGGCCACGAGCGGCTCCCTGACCTGGGTCAGCCAGAGGGGGCCTTCGCAGGATCCTGCAGGACCCGGCGCCCTGGCTGACCCCCGTTTGCACTGACCCCCGTCTCGAGCCTCCCGCCGAGGCTTCGAGCCACCCCTGCCGGGGCGCGTGCCGCACGGAGGCCTACCTTCCCAGCACCCTCGAGGGCCCGTGGCCTGGACCCTCCTCCCGGCTCCTCCTCCTCCTCCTCCTTTTCCTCCTCCTCCTCCTCCTTTTCCTCCTCCTCCTTTTCCTCCCCCTCCTCCTCCTCCTCCTTTTCCTCCTCCTCCTCCTCCTCCTCCTCCTCCTCCTCCTCCTCCTCCTCCTCCCCCTGCGTGCCGCTGGCGAGCGGCGACGCGGACGCGACCGCCGTGAGCGCCAGCACTCTGGACGCCCGACATGGGTACGGGAAGAATGGGTACAGTGCCCAACAACAGATGTTGTCCCAGACCAGCAGCGGCCGCTGAGGGGCAGGCGGCCTCCTGTCTCGAATGGACACGGGCCGCGGCGGCGCGGACAGCGAGTCCGGTTCAGAATGAGCAGGAACTGCTGTTGGGCATTGTACCCACTCTTTCCGTGCCCATTTCGTTCGTGCAGAAGCACGGGCACGGCAGAGAGGAGGTCGGGGCACGCCGGCCACTTCCCGAACGTGGGACCAAGATGGTCTCCTTGGGGGGCCGTTCTGCCGCTCGCTCTTCCTGCCTCCCCCCCTGGAAGGCCCCCGTCGCCACGGCCGCATCCGCCTCGGCGTCCTAATCGGATCGCGACCCTGGTCGGGCTTGGGGGGGAGGGTAAAGGCTCCCGGCATCCTGATCGGACCGCGACCCTGGGACAGGCCTGGGGGAGGACGATGCTTTCGATACGTTTGGACGTTCGCAGACCTTCCGAATGGGAGTGAGGGGAAGGAAGGGTCGGCGGCGAGCCCAGGGGGGAAGAGAGAAGGAGAAGGCCTTCTCAGAAGGCTCGGAGATCCCCCGGCCTTCTTAGAATTTTCCCAAGCCTTCCCCGAAGACACGGAACGCTTCCCAGAAGGGCCGAGGCCTTCTGAGAAGTCCCGCTGCCTTCTGAGAATGCCTTCTCCTTCTCGTTTCCCCCCCTCGCTCGCCGCCAAAAGGGGGGGGGGATGAGAGCAGGGCAGAATCTCGAGGATCTCCTGCCGCTAATAGACGGCAGGCGGCTAATAGACAGCCGCTAGTAGACGGCCCGAGCGGCCGGACGACACTGTGGTGACGGCTCCTCTGAGGCCAGACGGCCCGCTCAGATGGCTGCAGTCACAATTGAAGGGGCTCAGGAACACACACACAATATACACAAATCCCAGGATTCCCAATATTTATCCATATTGTCTGCAGCTTCGTCTTCCCCCCCAACTTCCCATGTTTTCCAACACTTCCCTGGGAATCGGCGATTCTGTATGTCTGTGCTTCCCCGCCTGGACAACGCAAGCCCCCCAAAAGGCTCGCAACTTACGATGGGAGCTGGCATGAAGCAAACGGGCCCTGCGGGAAACGGCTCCTGGACCCCAGGGCCTTCCCCCAGGACCAGGGTTTCCGTCCAGAGCCGTTTTGAAACAGTCCTGGGCCATGTTCGGGGATGGACAGACCTCCCTTTAGTAAAATGTGGTTTAGTGAAAACGACCTGAGGCCCAGACGTGGCGGGCGCAAGCCTGGAAAATAACGGCCACGGCGCCCTCTCGAGAACCGAAAACGGACAATTCACTAATCGACGTGTCACTGTTGGGGGTTCTGTCCACCCCCGACATGTGGACGGCCCTGGGAGCCCGTTTCCCTCGGGACCCGCTTGCTCCACGGCGAGAGACAAGCGAGGCATGCTGTGCCACTGGCTCGTCTTAGGCCTGTGGAGGACTCTTGGGAGGCCTCCGCGGAGGCGCTCGCGGGGACCACCAAAAGTACTCCTGGAGATCCCCCGAGACCTCCAGATTTGGACGCCTCAAATGGGTACCGAAAGAATGGGTACAATGCCCAACAGCAAATGGTGTCCCAAACCAACCGCGGCCACTGTTGGGCGGGCGGCCTCCTGCCTCGAATGGACACGGGCCGCGGCGGCGCGGACAGCGAGTCTGGTTCCAAATGAGCAGGAGCTGCTGTTGGGCATTGTACCCATTCTTTCCGTACTCCAGATTTCGTAATAATAGGGAGGGGGTCTGGACCCTCCAAGACAAGCCATTTCAGACCTCCCCCGTGGGAGAACCCTCCGAAACATCGTCCCCAGACCCCCCAGGCCCTCCAAGATAGCCTGGAAGAGACCCCCCCGAAATGAGACCCCCCTCCCTTTATTAAGAAATCTGGAGTACCCATTTCGGGCGTCCAGACCAGAAGGGGATGCCATTGCGAGCCTCAGGTCCGGCGCCGCGGACGAATCGCGACGGCGGGCTGGTGTCGCCCGGGCTTCGGGCGCCCTCGCAGTCGGGCTCGGGCTGGGCTCCCGATCGGGGGCTGCTGCTTCGCGTCCTCCCCCTCCCCCCCCCCCCTCCTCCCCCTCCCCCCTCCTCCTCCTCCTCCTCCTCCTCCTCCTCCTCCTCCTCCTCCTCCTCCTCCTCCCTCCTCCTCCTCCTCCTCCTCCTCCCCTCCTCTCCTCCTCCTCCTCCTCCTCCTCCCCTCCTCCTCCTCCCCCTCCCCCCTCCTCCTCCCCCCCTCCCCCTCCCCCTCCCCCTCCCCTCCCGCTCCGCTCCTCTCCTCCTCCTCCTCCTCCTCCTCCTCCTCCTCCTCCTCCTCCTCCTCCTCCTCCTCCTCCTCCCCTCCCCCTCCTCCTCCCCGTCCTGTCCTGCTCGCCCGGCGCAGCGCGTCAGCAGTTTCCGTTTGCGGCTGGCTGAGCTTGACTTCTCGCCCGCGCGCAGGACGGCGCGCGGCTTGTGGAATGGCTGTTGGGGCGGACTGGGACGACCAGGGATCGATCTGGCTCGAAGGACGCCGCGGAAAGATCGGGTCAAGACCTCAGGACGCGATGTGTTTGAGGGCGGTGTTCTTGCGTTCGACGACGTCGGAACCGAGGGAAGGCTGAACGGGAGAAGGATGAGGACTGGGAGGAGGAGTCCACAGGGCGAGAGGAACTCTGCACCACGCAAATATCCACGAGCCCTTTCTGGGCCCCGACCCTGACGTCCTTTATCAGCTCTTGGCCGAGCAAAGAGGGCGGCGGGGCCCAGAGCATGCTGGCCTGGTGGTGCACACTTTCTTACGTGCAGGGGCTGGGGGGCTGCAGAGGGTTCTAAGCGATCTGCGTGTTTGATGGGGAAACAGGTGGGGGGATCAGGAAAGACAAGGAGATGGGGAACGAGGAGAAAAGAAGAGGCAGAGTGCGCAGACGAGGCCTGTGAGAAACCAGCCTGTAGCCGAAGGCGTGGCCACAGCAGGATCATGAGGTCGAAATGATCAATGGCGCCCCTTCATCGGTTTGACATCACCTCGACTGGGAGCCCCGAATCTCCTCATCGTCGTCATTTTCATCGTTATCGTCATCCTCCTCCTCCTCCTCATTATCAGCAGCAGCAGCAGCAGCAGCAGCATCCTCATCCTCATCCTCTTCCTCCTCCTCTTCCTCCTCCTCGTCGTCGTCCTCCTCCTCATCCTCATCAGCATCATCATCAACAATGTCAACGTCGTGATTATCATCAGCAACGTCAACATGATGCGCAGCATCAATATCACCATCGAAAGCAACCGCCGCATCACCAACATCCTCTCCGATCCTCCCGCATCGCCTCCGCATTGCTAAAGAAGGGACCCCCGAGCGAACGAATGTCAAGTTCAAATGGATGGTCGCGCCACGCTGCTGGCCAATCCAGGGCAGGATGACGCGAAAAACGCGTGCGCAACCTCCCTCCTCCCTCTTCCCACCTCATCCTTCCTTCCAACCCCTCCTCCTCATCCTCGGAACAACAAATTCGCGCATGCATGCACACGGGCCTTTAAGAAACGATGCTTCAATTGCGCCGTACGTACGTTGCACCTACTGCAACGTATTGGTACGCTATCGAGGTGTTTCCGGCTTCCCTCCCGCCTCCTTAATTCACATACCTAACGGGCCAAGGGCATGCTAAGATCTCCAGAAAAAAAACTTCTGATTATACTAATTCGCGCCCTCGTGGCGACCCCTGCGGATCCCGGGTCGACGAGTACCCCGCGATATTCCCGCCACGGATGCCGAACTCCTGGGTGCTTTCTTCTGGCCCTCAAGATCGCCACAGGAGCGCCCCAACAGACCCCGAGGAAGCTCAAAGAAGGTGGGAGGTCCCAGGATGGCCCGAAGGCATCAAGATAGCAACAAGGCGGTCCTAGACAGCCCCAATATAGCCTCCAAAGGATCAATTCCATTGATCGTCCGAAATGTTTAACAGACTTTGCCGTCACCGCCTTCTCGAGGCTTCACCTCCTCCTTCCTTTCACCTTCAGACCGCCACCCGAAGGTTCGTACCTGTAGGCATCTAGATCCCATGATTATCTCTTGCACACCGTAAATCCCTCCAGCATGTAGCTAGGGCGAAACTGCAAACAAAAAACAGATGGGTGCAAATCGGCGAAATAACATACATAGGCCTTGCACGAACACGTCTACCGACGGTCTGATTCTGAAGTAGCAACTACGTGGCTACACGACAGCCTGCGAGGGAGAAGCGCAGTGCCAAATGACCTTCTATGAGCGCGAAGCCAAAGTGCTGTGCGTGTATTCTGTGGGAGGGGGCGAGAGCGAGAGAGAGAGAGAGAGAGGAGTGGGCGTGTGAGGATGCTCCTGTTCTGGGAAGGTTTGTTGGTTCGTTGTAGGGCCGGCCTTCCGCCCCTCGTCGCACCCGTGGTTAGAACATCGGCCTCCGAGGATGAACTCTCCAGCGCTCTCCCCGGCCGCAGGACGGCTAAGACGGCCCTGAAGACGGCTTCCAAGACAACCAAGATGACATCAAGACGGCCCAGGATGAGGACCCGAGATGGCCCAAGACGGCACGAGAGGCTCCCGAGCGGCCTCAAGATGGCCAGAGAAGCTCTCGAGACTGCCCAAGAGGACTCCAAGATGCCCTCTAGAAGAGCCCGAGGAGGCGACAGACTGCAATTCTTCCTCGGCGCTTGAATGATGTTGAGATTCTCACCCGTTCGGGTCTCCAACTGCCCAAGACGACCCAAGATCAGCAAGCGGCCGAGTCGTGCAACCGCTGACGGGAACACGGGCCATTATAGGGCCAAGCTCGCCCGAGAACAGGCAAGGCCGTGCCTACGCGAAGCGTAGCAAAACAACATGATTGAACAAACTCCAACGGCAACCCAGTCTTGGGATGCTTGCCAACCCGCACTCGAGAGAAATCATACTTCTGCCTGCTGCGGGCTAGGGGTTGTTCGAAGGGTCCTAGGTCCTAGGCACTTGTCGCCACTGAGCCTGCAGTTGGCGACTTGTCCAAAAAACACCTGATAGGAGCCACACAGGGTGCAAACCAATGCGCCACGGGTCACCAACACTTGGTGCCCATTGAGCTCGACGACAGCTTCATCGATCGGCGCACTGACACCCTCGGGCCACTGATTCGCATGCTCGCGCGCTACCATGGCGCTTCGATCCACAAAGTCCACAAGCACCCCGATTTGGGCAACTACTTCAGCAACCATCAATCGAAACAACCAGTTCTATTCCTGCCAACCCAATCACAGCAACTACTTCTGCAACCGCCTCAACGAACCTTACAAGCAATCGCAACTACATCTACACCCAAGTGGGAAACCTTGCCAACACAACCGAAACTGTATCCGCAAATGCTCCACTGACCAAAGCAAACAACCTCCTGACGCGTCACCCAAACGCCAACGTTCCTCAACACCTATCGGCGGTGGACAAACCTCCCTTTAGAAGGGCCACCCTTCCGTGAAAACGGCCTGGGACCGAAACCGGCGGACCTGAACCCGCAACAATGACGGCTGCGACGCCCTCCCGCGAACCGAACACGGCCAATTCCCTGATCGACGCGTCGGGGTGGGAGGTCTGTTAAAACGACGCGAAGATCGGGACAAAATCGGATCGGGATAACTCGAAATCTCTGAGAATCGGCGGGTTTGGAGGATGTATTGGGCGCCGCGGCCGCTCCAGAGCGTTCCGGAACGCTCTGAGAGCGCTCCGGAACGCTCTGGAGCGATTTATCCCGATCCTAGTCTTGTTTTATCTGTCGACCTCCGAACCAAAACGGCAACCAAAACCGGCCAAGAGCACGGATTGGCGCCTGGGCCGACGGCCCTGGGCACCGTGGAGATGTCTGGGGCGGAGAGCGGCTCGGGGCGAAGAGCAGCCTCGACACTCGGGGGCGCGCCAACATGGACTAGCGACCCGTGGATGTGGCGCGACGTCGCCAAATCCATGGATCGGAGGAGGTGCCCTCCCCAGAATGCGGCCAATGCCGCCTCGTTCGGCGGCGGGGATCCGCGATTTCCTATGGAAACGGGACCCGTCGCTAATCCACGCTCTCTTTATCCATGTTTGTGATCGTCTGATTAACCCTCGAGCCAAATTCAGTTCTTCCCAAAGTCAACGCCCATCGCATCAGGGAAAATCATGGCAAGAGGCGCGAGCCTCCTTGTTCCTCCTGCTGCTCATTTTCTCCCTCCTCATGCTCCTACTCCTCCTCCTCCTCCCTCCTCCTCCTCCTCCTCCTCCTCCTCCTCCTCCCCCTCCTCCTCATCATCGTCATAGTCCCCCTCATCTCCGTCTCCTCCTCGTCCTCCTCCTCCTTCTATCCCACCTCCTCCCCTTCCCCCTCCTCCTTCTCCTCCTGCTCCGACTCTATCGGGGTGCGGGACGGGGGACGACGACAAAGGAGGCGAACCTCATTTCATGCCTCCTCTCCCTCTCAGGAGGGACAAGCGCATACCTATATTGATACCCATCTCATGTTTTCGCACATTTTTGCGCACTCGCTGCCCCAGGTGGATTCGCCCTCGGACCCCTCGACAGAGCGCGCCCGAGGTCCAGGGAGAAGCGGTGCACGCGGGCCTCTTTGGGTTCTCCTCTTCCCCCCCCCCGCCTGTTCAGTACCTGTTCCTTTGCATGACCTACGGTTTCGGCGCCGCCTGTCTCTGGGGCTTTGCCTCCCTCGGCCTCGCCCTGAGGCCCCGCCGCTTTCTTCTCCCCTCCCTCCGCCTAATTCAAGCTTCGCGCGGCCCGCCTAGCTTCGACCGGAAGAGGTTCGCTCTCGACCCGCGGATCAACATTACGCTACCGAAGAACCCCACGTGCATATTTTATTTCCTGCGTGTACCATCGGCACTAATCTTATCACCAACACAACAACAACAACAACAACTACTACTACTACTACTGCTACTGCTACTGCTACTGCTGCTGCTACTTCTACTACTATCACTAGTAGTACACGTACTACTAGTACCACTAATACTACGAGTACTACAACAGCTACTACTACTACTACCACGACTACTACCACTACTACTACTACTACTACTACTACTACTACTACTACTACTACTACTACTACTTCTACTACTACTACTTCTACTACTACTACTACTACTACTACTATCACTACTACTACGACGACTGCTACTACTACTACTACTACTACTACTACTACTACTACTACTACTACATCTACTTCTACTACTGCCACTAGTAGTGCTAGTACTACTAGTACCACTAATACGACTAGTACTACAAGTACGAGTACTAGTACTACGACTAATATTACTACTACCGCTACTACCGCTACTACTACTACTACTACTACTACTACTACTACTACTACTACTACTACCACTACTACTACTACTACTGCTTCAGCAAGTACCTACTCAAGCACTGCCTCCTAGCATGGTCGGCGCCTTTTGTTCGCGGCAACTCATTGTACCTGGCGAGGAGCGTCTCGGGCCACTGGTTTAGAAGCTGTCGCTGGTAAGCATTAAATGCGTTGTGCACCAAGGAACTCCCATGCTCTCAACATGCGCGCGTAAACCCTCTAAACTCACTTCGGCGCCCGTCTCTAGCATTGATTTCTTGAGCTGCTCGCACGGAGGCGGCAGCGCGGACATGGCAAATTTGGGCGCCATGGCGGGCGCCGCACCTTTAACGAACACTCACCGGCGCGAGCACGCCTGCGTGCAAACCCGAACGGCCAGAGCTGACATGAGCCAAGGTGGCTACAAATGTTTGATGATACTAACACTTACCTCGCCAGCATTCCCCTGTGCCCTGAACACGACCGGCACGGATATCAAACTTGCGTACCCATGTGCCCTGAACAACACCGTCACGGATGGAGGCCGACACCGTCACGGATAGAGGCTGCGCTCGGGGACCACCCCCTGCGCACCCCCTATGGTGTCGAGAAAGTGCCACGCTTGCTATTTCTGGACGAGTGGCACGGATAGCGGCCGCGCTCAGGGACCCCCCTCTGCGCACCCCCTATGGTGTCGAGAAAAGTGCCACGCCTGCTATGCCTGGACGACTGGCACGAATAGCGGCCGCGCTCAGGGACCACCCCCTGCGCACCCCCTATGGTGTCGAGAAAGTGCCACGCCTGCTATGCCTGGACGACCGGCACGGGTAGAGGCCGCGCTCGGGGACCACCCCCTGCGCACCCCCTATGGTGTCGAGAAAGTGCCACGCCTGCTATGCCTGGACGACTGGCACGGATAGCGGCCGCGCCGCTCAGGGACCACCCCCTGCGCACCCATTATGGTGCCGAGAAAGTGCCACGCCTGCTATGCCTGGACGACTGGCACGGATAGCGGCCGCGCTCAGGGACCACCCCCTGCGCACCCCCTATGGTTTCGAGAAAGTACCACGCCTGCTATGCCTGGACTGGCACGGATAGAAGCCGCGCTCGGGGACCACCCCCTGCGCACCCCCTATGGTGTCGAGCAAGTGCCACGCCTGCTATTTCTGGACGACTGGCACGGATAGCGGCCGCGCTCAGGGACCACCCCCTGCGCACCCCCTATGGTGTCTAGAAAGTGCCACGCCTGTTATGCCTGGACGTTTGGCACGGATAGCGGCCGCGCTCAGGGACCACCCCCTGCGCACCCCCTATGGTTCGAGAAAGTGCCACGCCTGCTATGCCTGGACGACTGGCACGGATAGCGGCCGCGCTCAGGGACCACCCCCTGCGCACCCCCTATGGTGTGAGAAAGTGCCACGCCTGCTATGCCTGGACGACTGGCACGGATAGGCGGCCGCGCTCAGGGACCACCCCCTGCGCCCCCTATGGGTGGAGAAAGTGCCACGCCTGCTATGCCTGGACGACTGGCACGGATAGCGGCCGCGCTCAGGGACCACCCCCTGCGCACCCCCTATGGTGTCGAGAAAGTGCCACGCCTGCTATGCCTGGACGACTGGCACGGATAGCGGCCGCGCTCAGGGACCACCCCCTGCGCACCCCCTATGGTGTCGAGAAAGTGCCACGCCTGCTATGCCTGGACGACTGGCACGGATAGCGGCCGCGCTCAGGGACCACCCCTGCGCCCCCCTATGGTGCTGCCACGCCTGCTATGCCTGGACGACTGGCACGGATAGCGGCCGCGCTCAGGGACCACCCCCTGCGCACCCCCTATGGTGTCGAGAAGTGCCACGCCTGCTATGCCTGGGACTGGCACGGATAGAAGCCGCGCTCGGGGGGCGCACCCCCTATAGTGCCGAGAAAGTGCCACGCCTGCTATGCCTGGACGACTGGCACGGATAGCGGCCGCGCTCAGGGACCACCCCCTGCGCACCCCCTATGGTGTCTAGAAAGTGCCACGCCTGCTATGCCTGGACGACTGGCACGGATAGCGGCCGCGCTCAGGGACCACCCCCTGCGCACCCCCTATGGTGTCGAGAAAGTGCCACGCCTGCTATGCCTGGACGACTGGCACGGATAGCGGCCACGCTCAGGGACCACCCCCTGCGCACCCCTTATGGTGTCGAGAAAGTGCCACGCCTGCTATGCCTGGACGACTGGCACGGATAGCGGCCGCCCTCCCTCTCTCGTGTCGATGAACTACCACGCCTGCCGCGCTTTGCGAGCGTGCGACGGAGCTGAGCTGAGCTGAGCTGTGCTGAGCAGCGCTGTGTTGTGCTGCGCTGCGCTGTGTTGTGAAGTGTGCTACGCGTGTCTCATGTACGTGCCGTGCAGGTGTTGCGCTTGGGTGAGGGAATGTATGTGTGTCTGTGTGTGTTTGTGTTTGTTTGTGTGTCCCCTGCGCACCCCATATGGTTTCGAGAAAGTGCGACGCCTGCTATGCCTGGGCGACTGGCACGGATAGCGGCCGCGCTCAGGGACCACCCCCTGCGCACCCCCTATTGTGTCGAGAAAGTGCCACACCTGCTATGCCTGGACGACTGGCACGGATAACGGCCGCGCTCAAGGACCACCCCCTGCACACCCCCTATGGTGTCTAGAAAGTGCCACGCCTGCTATGCCTGGACGACTGGCACGGATAGCGGCCGCGCTCAGGGACCACCCCCTGCGCACCCCCTATGGTGTCGAGAAAGTGCCACGCCTGCTATGCCTGGACGACTGGCACGGATAGCGGCCGCGCTCAGGGACCACCCCCTGCGCACCCCATATGGTGTCGAGAAAGTGCCACGCCTGCTATGCCTGGTCGACTGGCACGGATAGCGGCCGCGCTCAAGGACCACCCCCTGCGCACCCCCTGTGGTGTCGAGAAAAGTGCCACGCCTGCTATGCTTAGACGACTGGCACGGATAGCGGCCGCGCTCAGGGACCACCCCCTGCGCACCGCCTATGGTGTCTAGAAAGTGCCACGCCTGCTATGCCTGGACGACTGGCACGGATAGCGGCCGCGCTCAAGGACCACCCCCTGCGCACCCCCTATGGTGTCTAGAAAGTGCCAAGCCTGCCGTGCCCTGCGAGCCTGCAACGCATGGAGACCGTACTCCCTGCGCACTCCCTGCGCACTCCCTCTGGTGTCCAGGAAGTGCCGCGCCTGCCACGCCCTGCGAGCCTGCAACGCATAGAGACCGCACTCCCTGCGCACTCCCTGTAGCGACGAGAAAGTGCAACGCCTGCCGTGCCCTGCGAGCCTGCACCGCATGGAAACCGCACTCCCTGCGCACCTCCTGTGGTGTCGAAAAAGTTGTGGTGTGGTGTGGTGTGGTGTGGTGTGGTGTGGTATGGCGCGGGGTGGTGTGATGTGACGATGTAATGCGGAAGAGAGGAACGCTGGTGTGACGCGGGTGTAGAGAAGGGGAGGTGGGTGAGAAACGCGGGTGTGACGCGGTTGTAGAGAAAATCAGAACCCCACTTAGAATGTGGGGAAACAACTGTCTGCACCCGCCCCCCCGCGGCCACCTCGCGCCACTTCTTGACCACGTACTCCCCCCACGTCAGCTCGAACATGCCTGCGAAGGAGGCCGACCACCATCCCCAAGTCTCCACTTTGGACGCCCGAAATGGGTACGGAAAGAATGGGTACAGTGCCCAACAACAAATGTTGTCCCAAACCAGCAGCGGCCGCTGTTTGGCAGGCGGCCTCCTGTCTCGAATGGACACGGGCCGCGGCGGCGCGGACAGCGAGTCCTGTTCAAAATGAACGGGAACTGCTGTTGGGCATTGTACCCATTCTTTCGGTACCCATTTCGTTCGTGCAGATCCACCAGCAAAGCTCGGCCCCGAGCCTCGATGGAGCGTGGCCTCCTGGCCTGGCCGGGAGCCAGAGTGACCGATACGCCCCCGGCGAACACCGATACGCCGTCGCGCACATCCTCCTACCGGGGGATCTTTGCAGGACGAATGCAAGGATGTCAAACCATGCTCAAGAGTGGTCAGAGCATCATCGAGAAGTCGTCCCAGACTATTTTTGACTATTTTTGAATCTTCCTCCTGTATCAAGCACACCCAAAAAGGGGTCCAGCTGAAAGGGGGTGGTGCAATAGATTTGGGGCAATTGTGTTGCAAATGTGGTGCGCCAGAAACTTGTATTGCATTCTATGGCAAGTAATGACTGGCACGCGAAAATCCAACAACACATTTGCGCCCCGGAGCGTATTGCACGCCCCGAACGTGTTGCCACCCCACCGATCTGTTGCACCCCCCCCCTGCCGCTGGACCCCCTTTTGTCAGCGATCGAGGAACGGTATAAAATAAACTTTTTTCGCTGTCGGGGGCGCCTGCCCCTGGGCGGCTGGAAAGTTTATACCCCTACGGTGCCACCGAAGGGCATAAACTTTCCAGCCGCCCGGGGACAGGCGCCCCCGACAGCGAAGAAGTTTATTTCATACCGCTCCTCGCCCGTTGATTTTGGGTAAGCCCGACTGTGGAGGGACACGCCCGACCTAACTCGGGGAGACGTGAGACCCGGGTACGGGGGACTCGGAAATCCCCGACGAGGTCGTCAAAAAAATGACGAGGCCCAGCCTGCATTTTGACGAGGCCTCCCGCTGCAGACATCCCACGAAACTCCTCCTCGTCAAAATCCGATTCGCGGTCGTCAAAAAACGATGGCGAACCCGAGTCCTGGCAAACGCGGGTCTTACGCTCCCCCGAACTGTGGAGGGACACGCCCGACCTAACGTTGGCCTCCACAGAGCAGCTGCCGCCGGGCCACCTCTCGAGCCCCTCTCGGTGCCGCCCGCCCGCCGCCGCCACGGGCGCCCTCCGAGGCGCCGACGGGCAGGGCGTCCGTGCGCCACGGCGGGCCCAGGCCGCTGCCGCCGGGTCTGCCCGCGTGCTGCTCGCCGGCGGCGTAATTGAAGAGGCCCACAAACACACAAATAAATACACACAAATAAAAATATTCCCAACATTTTCCTATATTTTTTGGATTTTTGTCCTCCCCACCACTTCCCATATGTTCCTGTATTTTCCTGGGGATCGACGATTAATTGTGTCTGTGTGTTTCTTCCCCTCCTGAGTAGTGTGCCCAGATTCGCGCGGGGATGAGGCGGACACGCGGTCGGGGGGTGACCCAAGTGGGGGGTGAAGAAAACAGGCCCTAGACTCGCCATCGCTCGGACGTCCATTCCCTGTCTTTTTTCGGTTTCGTGCGTGGTTATTTCGCCAGATGATCCAGGATGCTCCTCGATGGTCCTCGCCGAAGGAAAAATGCACACGTCCGAGCGATGGCAAGTAGAGAGGCCCTCCAGGGCCAGGGCCCCTTTTGGGCACCAGCTGGCTCCAAAAGGGGCCCTAGAGGGCCCCTTTAGCCGGCCGCCGACGGGACGCGACCACCGTGGCGGACAGCGTCTGGGCCTAGCTCAGACCAGGCGGGTGAGGCCGTGGCCTCGAGAATCTGGCTTGTCTGGATGCCCGCAATGCGAGACGCATAAAAAAAGGTAGGAGGGGAGGGGGGGGGAAGATAGAAGAAGACTCAACGGCATGAAAATAAACTTTTGGCGCTCCGCGAAGATCTCTTGAATCCGCGCTGGCCCCCCCTCCCTGGCGCGCGGAGCGCGCCAGGGGCGGCGCCGGAGGCGCCGCCCGGGGGACCCAGCGCGGATCCAAGAAATCAGCGCGGAGCGCCAAACGTTTATGCTCATGGCGTTTTCTCCTCCTCGGAGGAGAGGAGTCCTTGGCGTCGGTGTCGCGCGGGCTGGACGGGATCGGCGTCGACGAGGAGGGGGGAGAGGGAGCAGAGAGGGGGTCGTGCTCAGCCCTGGCCAGGAGCCATGCCCACCAGGCCGGGGGCCTGAGCTCTCCCCTGCACGCGGAGGCCACTTGGCAGGGCCCCATCCCGACCCAGAGCTCCGACGTCGTGCTCTGGCGGTGCGCACCAGGGGGTGGGGGGAGGGGGGAGGGCTTCTCAGAAGGAGGCTGCTTCTTAGAAGGCGCCGGCTTTACATATAGATAAGGCCCGCGCTTTCCAAGAAGCAGGGGCGCTTCGAAGAAGCCCTCCCCCCTCCCCCCACCCCCCTCTGCGCGTGGCTGAATGATTGCTGCTCACGCTGTCCACACAAATCCGGCCCTCGGTGCGGGACCCCCCAGAGGTGTCGACCCTCGGCATGGCCACGCACTCGCCCCCGGGACCCAGGCCAGCGGAGGGAGCGGGGGGGGTCTCGGCTCGACGAGGCTCCCGAGCCCGGGTCAGCCGGGGGGGGACCTGCGGACCCCCGTTGGCGCCGAGCCCTGCCTCGGCGTCCCCGACCAGGCGCTTCTGGACGGCCCCAGGGACCGGGAAGGGCGATGCCACAACTGGTCCGAACCCTGGCGTTAGGTCGGGCATGTCCCCCTACAGTCGGATTGTGGGCGAAAAGCTAAAAATACTCAAACAACGCCCCCCCAAAAAACCAAAAAAATACTCCAAAAATCGTCCCCGTACTATTTTTGGACTATTTTTGAATACTCCTCCTATAGCCTGTAGAGGGACATGCCCGACCTATACCTAGCGCCCGGCTTCCTTCGCGGCCCGGGAGGGGGGGGTGTCTGGGTCGGGAGCACAACTCGGCGTCCGAGCCCGCTGGACCGCTGCGTGGGCCCGCTTGGCCGCCGAACGGGCGTGGCCCCCACGGCCCCGCAAGACCCGAGAGCCCCAAGACTGGCCGCTCGCAGGAGGCCGCCCAGTGGGCCGAGTGGGCTCCGGAAGGGGAACCACCGGGCCCCCTCTACGGGGCCCAGAACTGTACGCCACCACCACCACCTCCCTCACCCTCTCCCTCTCCCAGGAAGGGAGAAGGAGTTTTGACCTGACAAGGACCAGCCGCACGCGTACTGGCCAGAGGTTTGAAAAACCACAGAGGCCAACGATGGAGACGCTATTCGACCCACAGCCTCGCTTCGCGAGCGGGATCGTCGTCGTCCGAGTCGCTGGCATAGGGGAAACTGACCAGGCTTTCCCCTATGCCAGGGAAGGAGGAGGAGAGGGAGGAGGGTAGAGGAGGAGAGGGAGGAGGAGGATAGAGGAGGGAGGAGGAATCGACGTGGAGGTGGTGCATATTTTCTTGGGGCCCGCGCCCTGGGGCTCTCCGGCTCGTGGCCCGCGGCTCTGCCGCGGGCCGCCTCCGCTGCCATCCTCCGGGGGGGGGGGCTCGACGGCGGCCCCTCGGGAGCCGAGTTTCCTCCTCCTCCTGCTCCTCCTCCTCGTCTTCCTCTTCCTCCTCCTCCTCCTCCTCCTCCTCCTCCTGCTCCTCCTCCTCCTCCTCCTCCTCCTCCTCCTTCCTCCGTCTTCCTCCTCCTCCTCCTCCTCGTCCTCCTATCCTCCTCCTCCTCCTCCTCCTCCTCCTCCTCTCCTCCTCCTCCTCCTCCTCCTCCTCCTCCTCCCCCTCCTCCTCCTCCTCCTCGGGATCTTGACTGCAGGACGCCCCCCCCCCCTTCAGAGAGGTGTGGCCGTGCGGGTCCCAGCTGGGCCTTCAAGTAAGGTCGCCCGCGAGAGGGTCCCTGCGTCCCAGGGGTGGTTCGCGGGAAGACAGGGCCCACAGATCGCGCAGCATCGCCGGTGCATCGGCATGGAGAGCATGGGGTGCAAGATCGCGGCTCGTCGCAGACGCGCTGGCAGCGCGGCGCAAGCTGCGGGCCCCATCTGCTCGGACTCCCTCTGGGAGTCCAGGGCCCGCCCGGACCTCCAGTGCCACCATCGCTGCCCATGCGTGGCTCCAGAGGTCCTCGCCTCCTTCCCAGGATCGTGGGCAACGTTTTGACTGGTCTCGGCGGTGGACAAACCTCCCTTTAGTAGGCCACCCTTTCGTGAAAATGGCCTGGGACCGACACCGACGGACCTGGACCCGCAAAAATGACGGCCGCGGCACCCTTATTTACGGTTTCTGCAAGATTTTGAGGGATTCGACAATTCGTTTTGAAATCTAGAATTCTTTTAGTGAGCATTGGATCACGCTGAGTTCGCTGGTGAACGTCTCAGAGCTGTAGCTGCAATATTCTATGCGAACTTTTATTTTTGATGCCGGTCCCTGGAAGTGAATCGAAGGAAATATTCCCCAATCGACGTGTCGGGGCAGGTCCGTCCGCCCCCGAGGGTCCCAAATTCCGAAGCGAGCCCCCGGGTGCCCAAACAGCTGCCAGGGAGCCGTCCGCGGCACTCTTCTCACGACGCACGCGCACGTCTGGGCTGGGCTCGTCCACCGAGGCCGCCGGGAGGCCCAAGCGGGGCAACGACGCGTCCAGCGCCGTTGGCGCGCGCCGCCACTCCGAAGGGGACAGGCATGGCGAATCCGGCCGTGGCTACGAGGGCCCCCCAGGAGGCTCGAGATGACGAAAACGAGGTGACGCTATTGGCAGGCAGAGTGAGGGAGGCAAAGGAAGGAGGAGAGACATCTAGATTCCCCTCCCCCCTTGCTGTCCCCCATTTCCCATCCCGAGAAGGAGGAGGAAGAGGAGAGAAGAGATGAGCTAGCGAGAAGGAGGAGAGAAGGAGAAACAAACTGACTATTCGAGGAGGATGAGGAAGGGGGGTGGGCAGGCGGAGGAAAGTTTGAGGACGAGGAGGAGGCGGGAGAGGCGAGGGAGGAGGTTCTCATGACAGCTTGGCACCTGGACCTGCCCCGAGGTGCGTTCTGGCCTGGATTGCGCCGCGGGTGCAGCCCTTGACACGCGGAGCCGCCCATGGCAGCCAGAACGCGCCCCGAACCCTGACAATGTGCACTCCCCCTTTGCTTTCAAGGATCGAGGAGGAGGAGGAGGAGGAGGAGGAGGAGGAGGAGGAGGAGGAGGAGGAGGAGGAGGAGGAGGAGGAGGAGCTGCGACCCTGGGAGAGGAGAAGCAGGAAGAAGCACAAGCCCTCGGAGGCCGGCGCTGGAGACCCGTGCCCGTGCTGGCCTCCCATCTTCGGCTCGAGCCCTCGCTCTCCCGAGGTTGACGAAGAGGCCCCAGGACACACAAATAAATACACACAAATAAAAGTATTCCCCATATTTTCTAATATTTTCTGGGTTTCTGTCTTCCCCCCCACTTCCCATACTTTCCCATCTTTTCTGGGGAATCGACGAATAATTGTGTCTGTGTGTTTCTTTCCCTCCTGAGTTCAAGGGGAACGACAAGATGAGGGGCAACGATAAGGGGGGGGGGGACTGGCACAGGGGGGGACGCATCGACCCGGAATCGGGGATACATCGCCGATGGATCGGCGACAGGCACCCGATCGTGAACCCGCGCCTTCCTGGGCAGGCTGGGGCTATCGGGCCCCCATCGGCGATCAATGGGCGGTTGGGGGTCGATGCATCCCCCCCGATGCCCATCCCCCCTATCGTCAAGGGCTCCCAACTTCGCGCTCCGCTCCGCGCCGCGCGAAGCGCGAATACCTTCGCGCTCTCGCGCCGCCTCCCAGGGGAGAAGGGGAGGATGAGGAGGCATCGGAGCCGATACCGCGAAGCGCGAACAACTTCTCGGGAGCGGCAAAGAGGGGGGTGTCCAAGAGGGAGGGTGCAAATCATGACCGGCGGCACGTGCGCGGCCCAGCGGGGGGGGGGCCAGGGACGCAATGGAATAAGACGAGGCGCCATGAAATCTGGGGAAACATCCTGGCCCGCGCCATGATATCCACCCCCCCCTAGTCATCACCCCCCCCTCTTTGCCGCCCCCGAACTTCGCGCCCTCGAGGGCGCCCCTGCCTGTCTTTGGAGTCCCGAAACGGTGCGGTGACGGACCGTGCGGTGACCTCGAAATCCCCCAAGACCTCACCGCACGGTCCGTCACCGCACGGTTTTGGGACCCCTGGAGGCCCCTGTCGCCCGAGACGTCCTCGGAGAACAACCCGAGTCCCAAAACGGTGCGGTGACCCAAAATTCCCAACGACTCACCGCACGGTGTGGTCACCACCCCGTTTGGGGGCCTCCGAGTCCCTTGCCCCTGGCCACCCCTCCCCCGGGGTGCCGTCGTCCACCGTGTTGAGCTCCTCGCCCGTCCTCCGGAGCCACGGGCCTCGCGCGGCCGCGCCCCCGGGAGGCCACCGCGCGGCCCGCAGGACCGCCCCCCCGAGGTGGGAGCGAGCCGCTCGGCGCTCCGGCAGCACCCCTCCTCCTCCTCCTGCTCCTCCTGCTGCTCCTCTTACTCCTCCTCCTCCTCCTCCTCCTCCTCCTGCTCCTCCTGCTGCTCCTCTTCTTCCTCCTCCTCCTCCTCCTCCTCCTCCTCCTCCTCCTCCTCCCGCCCTCCTTCTCCCCCTCCTCCTCCTCTCTCCTCCTCCTCCTCCTCCTCCCGCTCCCCCTCCTCCTCCTCCTCCCCCTCCTCCTCCTCCTCCTCCTCCTGCTCCTCCTCCTCCTGCTCCTCCTCCTCCTCCTTTCGGGGGCGCGCAGCTTCGAATTTGCCGACGCGTCCTTCCGGATGCATGACCTTTGCTTGCTTACTCGCCCGCGTGCCCAAGTAGGAGGGGAACCCCAACCGGAGCAAGGACGAGGGGCAGACGCAGTCTTGGAGAGGGCTTCGTCTTTCAACCTGAGAAGGAATTCCTTCTTCTCTCGGGGGCGCGCCAACATGGATTCGCGATCCATAGATCTGGCGCGCGGTCGCCAAATCTATGGATCGGGGGAAGGGGCCCTCCCCAAAATGCGGCCGGTGCCGCCTCGTTCGGCGGCGGAAGTCCGCGACTTCCCATAGAAACGGGACCAGTCGCTAACCCACGCCCCCTCGATCCATGTTTGCGATCGCCTGAATACGGTTGCAGCTCCAAAGCCAGGGTTCTCCTTACCCTCGAGCCAAATGCAGCTCTTCCCAAGGCCAACGCCCATCACTTCAGGGAAAATCATGGCAAGAGGCGCGAGCCTCCTTGTTCCTCCTGCTGCTCATTTTCTCCCTCCTCATGCTCCTGTTCCTCCTCCTCCCTCCTCCTCCTCTTCCTCCTCCTCATCGTCATTGCGCTCTCGTTGCCACAGCTGGATCCATGCTTGCGATCGCCTGACTCTCGGGGCGGGCGGGAACACTGAGCAACCGCAGCTGCGGGGAGCTTGCCGCACCTCGGGGGCGGACGGAGCCCCACCCCCCCCCTGGCACCTAGCAAGCCGCCCTTCAACGAAAAAACGACCCGGCACCATTTGGAAGCTGAGCGAGGGCTGGCAAATCCGTAGCTGCTACAACGGTCTTCCTGGAAGAAAAAAACAGATTTCCGGAGTCAAGCTCAACGCACTAAATGGTAAATGGGCTGCTTCCCGGAAGAAAAATAACAATTTCCCGGAGCTCCGTTTTAGCAGCCACGAGTTTGCCAACCGTCGCCCGGCTTCTGAACCATGCCCCGCGGGCGCAGGCTCGGAAAAGAAATCGGCCGCAACACGCCCTCGATGACGGGGAGCTGGCCATTCGCCAATCGACTGGGACCCACACCATTCGGGGTCCTCACCCCCCTATTGGACGCCTCCCCGACCCTCCTCGCGCTAGGGCTGTGGCCGGCGTCCGCCGAGAACGCCAGTCGCTGAAAAGGGGGATGAGGGATCTAATGACCCGGATCAATCCAAACCCGGGGTCAGCCAGGCTTTGCAGGATGCTGCAAAACCCTGCAGGATCCTGCGCCCAAGCCCAGGTCGATGCAGCCCTGGCGCTGCAGGATCCTCCTAGGTCCGGCGCCGTGACCGACCCCTGTTTGCATGCACCCCTCGGCGGTGGACAAACCTCCCTTCCGTCAACCACCCTGTCGTGACAAACGGCCCGGGACCGAAACCGAGGGCCCTGGACCCGCAAAGATCGCGGCCGCGGCGCCCTCTCGCGAACCGAGAGCGGCCAATTCGCTGATCGACGTGTCGGGGTAGGAGGTCTATCCACCTCCGAGCCCCCGTCTCGAGCCCCGAGGGGGTCGGCCTCCAGCTCTGCCGGGGCCGGAGGAGGAGGAGGAGGAGGAGGAGGAGGAGGAGGAGGAGGAGGAGGCGGAGGAGGAGGAGGAGGAGGAGGAGCAGGAGCAGGAGGAGGAGGAGGAGACGAGGAGGGGGAGGAGGAGGAGGAGGAGGAGGAGGAGGAGGAGGACGAACTCCCGACCTCGGAGGTCTGGGCGCTCGTGCTTCCGTGCAGCCTGCCCCCTGCGGGGGCTGCTGGCCGCGCGCGGCAGCTGCCCCTCCAGGGGCCCCAGTTGAAGCTGGCCTTAGGTCGGGCATGTCTGAATGGGCCCCAGGACACACACAAATAAATATACGCAAATAAAAGGATTGCCCATCTTTTCCCATATCTTCTGGGTTCTTGTCTTCCCCCCCCCACTTCCCTTACCTTTTCCCATATTTTCTGGGGAATCGCCGATTCATTGTGTCTGTGTGTTTCTTTCCCTCCTGAGTGTCCCCCTACAGGGGGATGTCGGACGAAAAATTAAGAATAGTAAAACGATGCCCCAACATCCGCCGGCCGCCCCCTTGTGGGGCCACAAGGCTGTAGGGCAAAGGTGTGCTGCGCCCTGCGCCAGTTGCAGGTTCCGGTTTCCAATGTGATAGTTCTGCTTCTTGTTGCATTGCTGTTCCTTGTTGTAGACCGCGCGAAGGGGGGGGAGCCGAAAATCAGCCTGGTTAGCGTCTCCTGGGAGGGGTCTTAGAATTTCTGGGGGGGTCGAAAATGACACCCCTCATGCAGATCGGCGGGGTCAGGGTCCAAGCGCACATGGAATTTGCTACATGTCTGAAATTCGGCGGCACCCCTCACGCAGATCGGCGGGGTCAGGGTCGACAAACCAATGGGATTTGCTACATTTCTGGAATTCGGTGGCACCCCTCAAGCAGATCGGCGGGGTCAGGGTCCAAAAACACATGGAATTTGCCACATTTCTAAAATTCGGCGACACCTCTTACGCAGATCAGCGGGGTCAGGGTCTTAAGACAAATGGGATTTGCCACATTTCTAAAATTCGCACGCAGATCGGCGGGGTCAGTGTTCAAAAACACAAGGGATCTGCCACATTTCTGAAATTCGGTGGAACCCCTCATGCAGATCGGCGGGGTCAGGGTCGAAACACATAAGGGATTTGCCACATTTCTGCAATTCGGCGGCACCCCTCACGCAGATCGGCGGGGTCAGGGTCCAAAAACATAAGGGATTTGCCACATTTCTAAAATTCGGTGGCACCCCTCTTGCGGATCGGGGGGTTCAGGGTCCAAAAACCAATGGCATCTTGAAATTCGGTGGCCCCCCCTCACGCCGATCGGCGGGGTCAGGGTCCAAAAACACATGGAATTTGCCACATTTCTAAAATTCGGCGGCACCTCTCACGCAGATCGGCGGGGTCAGGGCCGAAAAACCAATGGGATTTCGGTGGCACCCCTCACGCAGATCGGTGGGGTCAGGGTGAACAAACACATGGGATTTGCAACATTTCAATACTTCGTAGAAAGTTTTTTGCACAGCATACGCGATCAAGCTCGAAATACAACACCGAATTCAAGAGTACCATCATAATCTCAATTTGTCTTGCGGATTACTCATCGTCTTCGCGTGAAGTCCCGACGCTGCTTCACGGCGGCGCCAAGGCCTCATGATTTCGCTCTTGCATTGCCCATTTTCCGAGAGAGGGGGCCGGCGGCAGGGGGCGAAGCGCTTACGGATGATCGAAAAATGACAGAAAAAGCGTCCCCAGACTATTTTTGCTACCATTTTTGAATATTCCTCCTGTAGAGGGCCAGGCCCGACTTAAAGCTGGCCTGACGGAGGCCCAGCACCAGCCCTGCAGTCGTCAACACTTCCCAGACCTGGTCTGCCCCGACCGCTCTCGACACCTCCCTGGCGCAGTGTGCATGTTGCGCCACCCTCTTGCCGATAAGCACCGGGCGCTCCCCGAGCCTCTCGGGCCGGGCGAATAGGGGGGGATAGCAAAGGGGGGGTCTGAGAATCAGCTCACGTAGCTGATTTTCCCGGCGCCTCCCGGCGCCGGAGGCGGCGATATATCCAGGAATGGGCCCAGCGGCGGGGCCGAAACCAGCGGCATGCAGCAGATTTCGTAGCCCCCCCCTTCCCCCATCCCCCCCTCTCGCTCGGCCCGCTCTTGCTCCCTGGCAGGACCGCGCTGCGCACGCGCTCTCCCGCGTCGGCCCCGACCTCGGAGCGCTCGCCGGCCTCGCGCGCCTCGGCGGTGGACAAACCGCCCTTTCGTAGAACTCCCCTTCGTGAAATCGGCCTGGGACCGAAATCGACGGACCTGGACCCGCAAAAATGACGGCCGCGACGCCCTCTCGCGAGCCGAAGACGGCCAATTCCTTCATCGACGTGTCAGGGTAGGAGGTCTGTCCACCCACGAACGACTCCCACCCAGAGCCCGAGGCCGCCCGCGCCGCACTCGCTGGCCCTTCTCCGCCCGCGTGGCGCCGCCCTCCCTTTTCGCTTCCGCGGCCGCCCTCCCTGCTGTTCCCCGCTGTGCTGTGCTAGAGGCCTCCCAGATCGGTGCTCCTCCTCCTTCTCCTCCTCCTCCTCCTCCTCCTCCTCCTCCTCCTCCTCCTCCTCCTCCTCCTCCCCCTCGCTCGCTGGCGAGTCCAAGACGTGGCCCTCGGCGGCCCCCGGCGGCGGCCCTCGGCGGCGGCCCTCGGCGGCGGGCCTCCGCCTCGGCGCGCGCGCGCGCGCCGAGGTGGAGCGCCTGGGCACGCTGCTGCGGGCTCGGGGGTCGGAGGATCTCGCCGCATCGCCGATACATCGGCGACGCATCGCAGATGCGTCGGCGATGCATCGGCCATGCGCTGGCGACATCGGCGATGGAGGGAAGAGCGCACATCGGCGCCATCGTGCGGTCTGTCCGCGGCCGGAGGAAACCTGTCGCAGCCGTCTTTCACCTGCAGATCCGTCCGGCGAGCGCCCCCCGACCCCGGGCCAACCTCGAGGGTGCGCCGCTGGATCTCCCCAACGGGGGGGGGGGGTTAGGACCCCCCCCCTCCCCCTCCCCCCCTTCCCCGATCCGTCGTCGGGACCCCTCCCCCTCCCCCCCTTTCCCCGATCCGTCGTCGGGGACCCCCCGTCCTCCTCCCCTTTTAAAGGGGGGGGGGTCCCAACCCCACC